AGCTCTGACTGGCTCTTGCAGGTTTTATTCTTGTGTTTATGTTGCAGAGATATCCCTGGAGCCTTTTAGGGTTGGGTATCTTTGGAAAGGAGAGAAATATTTAGTGGTAATTGTTGTTCTCATCGGAAATTCATTGTGGCAGCTCCCCCCTTTCTGTGGAGCTGGAGTTGGGAGGAGGATTTGCGAATATTAAATAAATAAATGCGAATATTAAATAAATAAATGCTGTTTTCCCCTGCACCCAGGGGAGATGTCCCATCCGGTGACAAACCAAACCGGTGCTTGGCAAGAGGTTTTTGGCATTGTCTGACATGGTGTTTCCCTCTCCCTTTTACTGAAGTGCTTATGCATTGACCCAGAGCTTTTTTAGGAGAAAAATAGAAAAGGAGTTTGCTCTGGTCCAGGGTTTATCCTGCAGAAATATCAAATCTCCATCTGCTTTAGCCCGTGGTTGTAGCAGAAGCACAGACTCGATTCATCCTTTTTTATTGGGAAATAACCTGATAACTGGATGCTAGGAAGGTTACAAAGGCCAGCATTTAGGGAACCAGCATCTTGGCTGAGAGCAAAAGATGCTCCCAGTGCAAAAACCCTCCTGGGTTTGGATAGAGGAAATTTGGCTACCAAATATTCCTAAAAAAATTAAAAATCTTTCATGGTGCAGTGGTATTTCTTGCACAAATGCTCCTGATATCCTCAGATGAGGCATCATGCAAGCCCACTTGGAAGCAACTTGAATGTGAGGAATGACCAAGAATGGGTGATGTCTTGAAAAATGGGATTCTTCCCCATTTTCAACCATTTAAAAGCATTTGGTTTATTTTTAATGAGCTCAGGGTGGCATAAGGGGGTTCCTTTAATAGCTTGTGAAAGCCTAGTGTTCATCTTTCAGGGTAATGGGTGAATTTTGGTAAAAACAAAAAGGGCAAAGGTTGGCAGATAGAAATGAGATGTTCAAGAGCAAGAGGGTCACTCTCGATTCACTTTATGACCAATGAAGAGTTGGCATCACCCGCCGAGGGTGAACCTGTCCTCACTGGCGGTTCAGAGCAAGATGTATCATCCTCTGGAGGTGCCTCTCCCTTCCCCCTCAGCTATATTTCTTCATTTTAACTTAGATATATGCATATAATGAATGCATATATCATAAACTTCATCATGCACAAGCCCTCCATGAAGATGGAGGCATAAAAAAACTTGCAACCTGCTGTGGAGAGAGCATGACTAACACAGCGTCATTGCAAATCTTAAAAAAAAAAAATACCCTTTAGAAAAGGCAATCTTCCCTTCATACAGAAAAATACCTTCCTGTGGCCAGGAAAATGTCCTCAAGTATCTCTAACAACTTTGAAACTTTGGGTAGAGAAGAGGAAATGCTTGAAAAGCTGATTTTCTGATTTCTCACATTGAGTCCTCCATTATCAATTGCATGTTTTGCTGCAGGGGAGAAGCTGCTGAATGAGCTAGAAAAAATGATCCCCATTTTCCCATTGATTTGGAAACAAGAGTTGCACCTTGCAAAGCTAATGTTAACATTATCCACTGAAAACACTAACATGGAGTCCAACAATGTGATTTTTTTTTTTTTTTTCATTTAGCTCTATTTCTAATACAGTTTTATGGCTGTTTTATTAATCAACAAGGTCATATCCACCTGGGGAGTGTTGAACGACCGTCTGCAATACTTTGATTTTTTAAATGTTTTGAGGCATCAGTGACACCCCCCCCCCAACTTCTCAACTTAGTCTTTAATTATTTTTATTTGAAAGAGGAGGTAATATATTGCTGGCAAAATGCAGCCTATAAATTTGAGACTCTTTTAGGTAGATGCAAGCTCTTCGGGAAATACATTTTCAACTTAATGGCAATATTTCAGCGATAGCTGAAATAATTTTATTTCATAAGGAAATTTAGGATACTTTGATTTCAGGTCGCTGCCAAAACCTAAAGTACTGCCACTTCTGGAAATGTAAGAGCCTTTATGGGTTTTATTGCTCACCATTTCTTTCCTCTGTGTAAACACCCCGGGAGTTGGCTGCAATTCTTGCCCTCCTCAAGCCCCAGCCCCCCAAAATTCACTCTTCGCCCAAGATTTGATCATTGCCTTGAGCTGATCTGCAAGCAGTTGGCAGGGGTTTGGCGATGCTCTGCTCCTTTCGTCATCTGGATGCCTATGGTCAAGAGCTCATGCAGCTAAATTGATTTCAGAGGTGGGAAAAAAAAAGAGGATTAATGCATAAAATAAAAAACATAAAAAATTAGAAAGGATTAATGCATAAAATAGTAGCTTTCGACCCTTCCCTACGTTTGGCTGCTGATAAATCCATGGGGCTGACAGCTTTGCACTGTTATCCTGAGATTCATGGCTGGGGGCTCCTGCGTGAAACACCCGTCTGGCTTTTCCCGTGAGCGCCAGGCGCTTCCCCGGATATTTACGGCACCCGAGTGCATTTGTTTCCCCCAAGATAAATATACCACTATCGGCAACAGCTGTCTCTCATTTTTTTCCTTTTTTTTTTTTTTTTTTTTTATTTGGCTGTAAGTCCTATTCTCCAAACAAATCAACGCCCATAAAGCCTCAACGAATGGCTTGATTTTAGCAGGTTAGATGATATTCAGCAATTAAATTGGGCTCCCGACTGCCACCTTCTGGGAATATATTCAACCGAAAAGCTCGCACCCCACAATAAATTGCCGCGCACTATAGAGGTAGGCTCACTCCTGGCACGAACAATAGATGCCAAGTAGGGTTTTTTTTTTTTTCCCAAAATAGCAATCTCTTTTTTTTAGCTTCCCACCGAGATGTCTAGACCGTCATGGTGCTAAATTCTGCTTTTCTCCAGCTGCAGCTATTTCTGGTGGGGAGGTGTTCCCCTTGGTGTTACCCCTTGAGGACGTGGATGCTTGCACGCTTGCAGCTGCAAGCGGAGATTTGACATCGGACACTGAAGATTTTAAGCCGCGAGTTCACTCAGGAGCAGATAATTTTGCCTCCTGCTATTTTGCTGTTGGGAAAGAAAGATGAAAAGCATCATTTTAATCCCATAAATGCAATATCCTTCTCGCTGCAAGAGGTCTGTGTCATGCAAGGACCCCGGTCTGCTTTCCCAATGCACAGGATTTTGGGTGTGCTCTCTTAATACTCAATTCATGGATCATCCATAGTATTGCAAAGTAAAAAAAAAAAAAAAATTATTCATGCAGAATAATAAGAATGGTTGATGTTCATCCCATGCAGACAGTACTTGGCTTTCCATGTGGATATGGTGCATTTGTGCTCTTGGTGCCTGGTGGTTCCTGTAAAGCCTGAAGCCTCATGGAGAAGACTGGCATATTGTGAATCTTCCCCCAAACAACTGTTGACCTCACTGAGAAGACGAGAATATTACAAATCTTTCCCCAAGCAACTGTTGACCTCATGGAGAAGACCAGAGTATTGTGAATCTCCCCCAAAAAACTGTGTAGACTGATATGAAGACCCCAAATGTGCCTCGGTTTTTACTGACCTCATCAGTATCCCTGTTCCTCTGCCTTGTGCAAGAGCGTTTCTTCCTGCATGTCACCATTTCATGGCAAAAGTGACACTGACACTATTTTTTGGTAGATCCCCTCACAATATCAGAGGACTTTACATAACTTTTTGCATTTCTTCATGGGATGGCACCACGGCCTTTCTCCATATGAGAAGTCAGTGGGGACCCCAATGCATTGATGAGCATCACAACGGGGCAAAGCCTTCGAGAGATGTCATCTTTTACAAAAATGAGTCATTGCAGGGAGAAATGCACTTCTGAGGGCTCTGGGGAGATTTTGCTAGGTGGCTTTGTGAGTTGGCTTAACACAGAGCTTAGAGACTCGGAGAGGACTCAGGACGGGGGCGGGGGGGGTTGAGGATTTAAGCAAGATGATTGGCTTTTCTTCTGAAGCAAGCACACAGCTGCAGTGAAATAATGGGAGAGGGGGCATTCTGGGGCCAAGAGTTCCTTTTTGGTTACATCTGCCATCAGTTCTATCCTTGGGGACAGCATCCAGCCAAGACCTCCTCTACAAATTTGTCCCTTCCTGGTGCCCCTCTTTTTCCCCATCTCCTTGGGACCCGAAGATACCAAAAAAGAGTCTGTTTTCCCCCCAAATAACTATGCATTTACGGAAAGCAGAGCAACTTCAAGAGAGTTTGGGGTGGCATGTCTCAGACTGCCTCCTGGGTTCCATAGGGATGTCCATAGGGGATGTCAAAATCAGAGTTTGCTCCCTGGTTCAAATCAAGCAAGGGCTTAAACCCTCTTTCCTCATTTCTGTGCATTCAGTTGCCATGGGGTCGGTCAACTCAACATAGGAGTCAACTGGGCTGGTCAGCGCAATGTAGGAGTCAACTATGTCGGTCAACTCAACATTGGATACTCAATGTCCCTTCTGGATTGAGCATGCAGTGCATGAGGATGTGACTCCATGGTGGCCAAAGGCAGAGAGACAGGGTTTTTTACTGTATAATTGCAGAAAATGGAAAGTTTTGCATTTATGACTTGTCTTCCTGCTTCCAAAAAGGAGGAATAACTGGAAAGGGGATGGGAATCCCCATTTAGGCACTGCGGTTATAGGCATAAGGGGTAGAAAGAAAATGGCCTGGGTGCACCAGGGTTCACAAGGGGGAAGATATAATGAGGTTTGCTGATGGCAACCATCATCTCCAAGAACTCTGCCTTTGCCTGGCTGCTGTCCAGGGAAGATCTTGCCAGCAACCCCCTTCGCTTCACCCCTGATGCATTCCTTATCCAAAATCACAAATCTCAAATAATCATCAGATTATGATAAGGGTCATCAAATGATCTTGGGTTTCTTCCAGGGACTGGGTGGTGGAGCACTGTGCTGGGGTGCTTGTCACCTCTCCTTTCTGTCCCTTTTTTTCTCCTGTCCCATGGGATTTCTTTTCAGGGGGAGATCCCGCTTAATCCAGCGACATTTCTCCCACCCACAGGTTCTCGATGTGAGTCCCACCCAGGATGCACCATGTCTCCCCGGCACCGGCTCTGACGATGATGGCCACCCAGACGGTGCCCCCTCCTCCCTACCAAGACACCCCGCAGGTGAGTGTCCCCCAGCACCCATGGGCTCCTCCAGACCCCTCGTGACTCCCCCAACTCCTGCATTAATTACCCTGCCTTCCTAAGTAATGATCATTACAAAATATTTCACCCCAAAACGTTCATTTCAGAGACTGGCAAAAATTAAAACCCCTCTTGATGCAGTCTCCAGGATTGAAGGGGTTTGGGTCAAACTATGGGTGTTTTTTCCCCTTTCTGGCTTATTTTGGGGTCGCGGGGTCTTCTTGGAAAGCCAACACGGTGGTGTGTTTGCAGCCAGCAGGTTAATAAGCTGGAAAGACGAAATGTCTGGTTAAACCGTGACGGATTTAGCTGTAGGAATCGCCTTTTGATTTATCCTTATGGCATTTTTTGGCAACCCATGGCAGGGGGAAAAAAAGACTTCATCTACAATGTTGCTTTAAGGGGTCAAATAACTTTTCCAAGCATCCTTACAGAGTTAAGTTATTATAAGAAGAGGAGTTTGTCCAAGAGAAACTCTGCCGGAGCACCCCAGTGGGCTGGACGTGGTGGTTAAGGTTGGATTTCAGAGATGGTTCCGCACCTCGCACCCCATCCCAAGATTTTTGGGGGGGCAAATCCACATCACATTTCCACTTTCCCAGCTACAGTGACCAAATGGGGATGATCTGGATTGAGTGCTGAACCGTCTCTGCATTCAAAGCAGCTTTTTGGGGGGATTCATATGGGAAATTTTTAACTTTTCCCTCATTTGCTGCAAATCTTGGCTGCAAAAGCAGAGAACTGTCCCCTCCCAGGGAAAAAAAAAAAAATCAAGCCTGCTCTCTGCAAGCTAAAATAAATACATTGACTTTTACACCCCCCTCTGAAGCCACCCGGGTCTCCTTTCTGCTCGTCTCCTTTGGTGGGAAAAGGTCACTTCTCACAAACGACACCTTGGTGGGGTTTTTATGGCTCCTCCAACTTCTGTGTCATCATTTGCTTGCTTCGCTGCTCCGCTACGAGAAGGGGTTTTTTTCCCAATTTCTTTTTTTTTCCCCACGATGAAACATATCACCTTTCTTGCTTACGCAGCAGGGAGCTGTGACGCTGTTTTAGTCCTAATGGGCAATTTAAGGGACTTTTAAAATAGCCGAGATTTCCCGCAGCATCCTGTGGAGATGTCCTCCCTACCTTCCCCATTCCTGTCCCTTATCTGCCCCTCTGTTTTAATACATTGCATTTTGGGGACCCTCAGGAGCATCGTTGCTCAAAACCCTCCTTTTTTTCCTGTCGAGGGGGTTGCTCAAGCATTTTTGCTTCAGTTTAGTGGGTTTGGAGGAAAAGCTCCAGCCAAGAGCTGCTTTTTTTGACTCAATGCTGTGACTGCTATGAGCTTTTTACCTGAAAATTTGGGATTTCTAAGGTTTGGAAAAGCAAATTGCACAAATTTCCTCTCCCCAAAGACAGGGAAGCGATGGAGATGGTTGGTGATAAATAAAAAAAAATCAATTATTAGAGCTACAACCAGCTCCTTAGCATCAAGGGGACTATTTTGGGGAGAAAAATGCTAAAAAGGGGTTTGGGGAGCTTTGCATTAGTATTTTACTGCAGAGGCTATGCAAGTGATCACCCTCACTGTCAGAAATGTGCAAAATGAAGCCGAAATGATGGGAAAAGCTGATTTTTGGAGGAAAAAAATGCTGTAGTAATCACCTGGTTCTGCTGAAGGGGTGTAATATGGAGCATCATTTATACTGAGCGTGATCACACTCGCCAAGCAACTCAACCTGTTGAAAATCTGCATGTTTTCCATAATAAATTAAAAGCAAAAGCCAAGGTAAAGTCTTCAGCCATTTCATTGTCAAAGTTAGCAAAAGGAGGTAGTTTTAAAAATAGGCATTTTCAGCACCGAAAGCGATGAAAGCAGCTTTGGCCCCCGCAAAAAGTGCCTTTTGGGTGGTTCCATCAGGGTCAAAAATTGAAAATTATAAAGATATAATTTTTTTACTTTATAAAAATATATTTTTTTAATTATAAAAATATATTTTCAAAAAGTCACAGATTAAAAATTGGGTGGAGATGTTGATTTTTCAGTAGGATCAATGAAACTCCCCAGCTCCTGGTGTCCTCAGCACGTTTTCGGGCTCAGAACTACTGTTTTCAGCATGTATGATGGCAACAGAGAAATTTCACTGTGAAACGCTAAGGAAGAGGGTAAATATTGATGATTTAGGAGATTTTCTTGCCCTGAAGACCTTCAGCGTGGTTGCTCTCTAGAGATGACGCATTTGGCCATAGTCTTCAAAAAAACCCTAAAACAAGAGGGATTATCACATTTAAACCTGCGGGAAGCCCCGCCATTGCCTGGGGAGCAGCCGCTAACTCCGGCAAAGGATTTTCTTCCTAAAGAAGTGAAAAAGCCAGAAATATACTATAAAAAAGAATATAACTGGGAAGTGATGTGCATCGTCAAGCAAGCGGCACCTCAAAAATCTCTGTTTTAACTGGGAATTTTGCAAAAATATGGGGGTTTTTTTGACTTTCTTATTGTTTTTTTTACATGTGATTTTTACCTATTTTTTACAAATTTTAAAACTCTTAAAAAACTTTTTTTACATATTTTTAAAGATATTTTTAACTTTTTAAACATTTTTACATATTTTAAGATTTTAAACATGTTTTTACATATTTTTTAATGTTTTAAACAATTTTTTTTACATTTTTAACATAATTTTTTAAACTTTTTTTTAACTTTTTTTTTACTTTCATATTTTTGCCTTTTTTTTACATTTTTCCCCCCTGCAACTATTTTTGGCCATTAAAAAAAAAATTAAAAAAATCCCTGCCTACATTTTTTTTCCACACTTGCTTTCATACCCAAATCCAGCCCCTTTTCCCCCATATTTCCCCATTTTCCCACTGCTGAGATGCTCACGCTCCTGAGCCAGAAACCTGCTGCCTTTTTCCTCCTTTTCCATCCCCACCTGCTCCCTGTGTATCCATTTTTGGCTGCATTTTTTCCTTCCTCTTTGCCCAGCTGCAAATACTCGCATCCGAGCATCCTCTTCCCTCTTTTTCCTGCTGACCTGGGATTATTTTTATTAATTTTTTATTATTTTCTTTAGTCCAAGGTGAGGTAATGGCTTTGAAACAGCTGCAGAGGAGTCTTTTTTTTTTTTTTTTGGGTAATAGCCCAATTAGTTGCAGACACGGTTGGAAAGAGCCAGCTTGGCGGGATTTCGGGGCAGGACGTGAAAAGTGCTTCGGTGTCCCAGTAAATGAATGTAATGAGGGGAAAAAATTAAAAAAGGAAAAAAGGTGGTGGTGGGAAAGCCATTTTTTCCCCAAAAAAGTAATTTTCAAGGGAGATAATAGGGATGAAAAACGGGAAAAAGAGAAAGAGGACGGGGAGATATTCAAAGGCATGACTGGAGCATCCCCAAACCCACTTGCGGTTTGATTTTAGATAGAAAATGGGGGGAAAAAAGAGAAATCCAAACTGCTGGGATAGAAAGGGGAAGTGAACCCCAAATTTTCACTCATTTATTTAGCACTGGGAAAGGGAAGAGGGATGGAAATCAATCCCGCTTCTGGGTTGGGAGAGTTAGAAATTAAATAGCGCCGGGTGAATTTCCAGGTGCCGGAGCCAAACTTTGGAGTTATGAACAATAAAGGAGATTAAAAAAAAAAAAAAGCACCATATTGACAGCAAAAGGTCAGGCAGGAGATATTAAAGTCAAACATTTTAAAAGCAAAAGGTGTCGCGGTTTTGGCCTGGCTTGGGTTTACGCAGCTTTTAAGAGAGGCAAGAAATCTGCTTTTTTTCATGGCAAGAAGCTGAGTATAAGGGTGGGTTTGGCTGGAGAAGACCATGGGCATACACATGTATACACATAAGTATTTATATATATATATATGTCTGTGTGTGTATACACAAATTTTATTTATATGTAAATAATCACAGAAATAAATATAGAAGTATGTTAGAAAAATAAATAAATAATATATAAAAATATTTTCTTTCTATATAAACAGACAGAAATAAATATAATTGAACAAATAAATAATATATGTAGATATTTTATTTCTATATAACTAAACACAGATATGAATACATAAGCATATTAGACAAATAAATAAATTATATAAATAATATTTAACAAGAGGCAGAGGTTCCATTTTGCTACCCAGCTCAAGGGAGGATTGAAGATTTACTGGTGAAAACAGGCAAATGCTGATTTTTTTACATTTCGACACCAAAGCAGGTGAAGCACTGTCTTTGCATTAATTTTCCACTGAGATTTTGAGCTAAAACCACTGGATTTGGGGGCTTGCTGATGCATTTGAACCCAAATCGATTAAAATTCTACTTTAACTTTTTTTTTTTTATTTATTGAATCTTGTGAAGATAAAGCAATGTGTCATCCGCAGCCCGGCAGCAAATAATTCAGATTTCTTTAATGCAGTTGATAATTTTAAGTGGAGATTGCACCTAAATATGTGCAAGCCAGACATGTGGAGGTGGAAGTTTTGGGGGTGATGCTGGAAGGATGTGCAATGATTTGCACATGCGCTGGCACGCATGCATCTCACATCTTAAATACAGATATTTACCTAAAAAATTACAATTTTTTAAAAAAGCAAAACATTAGGTAGCAGAATGATTTATCTCATCGCAGATGTAATTTTACCTGTAGATTTCCAGCCCCAGTGCCTTGCGATCCCCATTGCGTCGGCAATCTGGGGCAGCATCAGGGCTAAAGATGGGTGATTTGGGCACGGGCAGAAAAAAGGTTGATTTTTTTTGGCTGGCTTCTCACAGCACAAAAATGACTCATTCCTGGGCTTGGCAAGTTGGAAGAGGCTCACGTAATTTTGGAAGAAAGTTTAAAATGCCTGTGTGTCTAGACAATAATACCTGCTTTGAAAAAAACCTTGGCAAGCAGCACCGTTGCAGCTGATTTAATCTGGGACTTCTGCAAAGCATCCCTTAATAAATTACCCCCCGCCTTTGCTTTGCTGCTTGTGCAATAAGGATGTCGGGACTTTTTTCCTGTATTTTCCCTAAGTAAAAAGTGGGGAAAGTGGGAATAACCTAAATCTGCTGTTGCCAGGATTAGATGAAATGCAAATATATTTTTACCTCCCCCCAAACCATCCTGCTCAGAGCCCCATCACGGGGCTGCCTCCTCCTAAATTTTGAAAATTGAATGCAGAAGGCTGCAAAACTTGGTGGAAAGGTGCAACAAACCTCATTTTTGTTTTATTTTCTTCCTTTTTTCTCCTCCCCTTTATTTCCCCCCCCCCCCCCCCCCCAGATGACAGCCACAGCCCAGCAGCCCAGCAAGGCACAGCCTGTCCATCTCACCACGCCAGCGGCGGCTGCCAACGTGCCGGTATCCGCCGCGGCCGGCGACCCCCAGGCACAGCTGGAGGCCGACAAACGAGCCGTCTACAGGTGATGCAAGCTAATATCAGTGCACATTAATTAATTAATGAATGCCTTAATGCATTATTTCATTAATGCATTAGTTATTGTAATGCATTAGTAATGCATTGATTCGGCGGTGCATTAATGAATGCATGGGTTAATGCATTGATTCGTTGATGCATTCATTATTATAAGGCAGTATTAATCTGCTATTATTCTAATGCATTAATTAACACACAGGAACGGGGGGGATTAGCAATTAGCTCCTTTCTAGCAATAATAACGCATGGTGGTGGAGCTCCTTCATAGACCTCATTTGCAGCATCTCCCCCAGTCCAAAATATTCCCCCCCACCCCAAAACCCCAAATGAGCCTTTTTCTTTTTTTGGCAAAACCATGTGATATGGGGCCAGAAAAGCACCCAGAAGGAGCAAAGTCACATATTAACCTGAAATACGCAGTTCTTGCATCCATACAGGGTGCCAGCAGCAATGGGTACGGGATGGATGAGCCCCTCTGGTCCCCTTTTTTTTGTCACTTTGGAGATAATAATATATAATATGGTAATATATGTAGTAATGCTATCATATAATTGCAATAAGTGACATTATAACTATGTAAATAGTATAATTATATAAGTAATATGTAATTATATAAGTGATATGTAATTATTTACAATATTATGATGTACGCATTAATGATGTAACAGTAACGTATAATATTATAATATAATCAGGGTTACGGTTTAAGGTTAAGAATTAACCCCCCATTAATGGCCAGGGCTGTCGGGGCTTGTGACCCAAAAAATTGCAGCTCGGAAGCAAAGGAATTAAAACACTTTGACTCCAAATATTCAAATATTACAAGTCCAAAAGGTCTGGAAAGGCGGATGAAGGCATGGAATAAATCCACCTGTTTCCCAGGAAAACGCAAAGGATTATTTGCAGCAGGTCTCAAGACTTTTTCCAATGATGGAAAATAATTTTCTCAAGGCAAAAGAGGTCATCCAAGACCCCCCCCCACCCCTTTTCTTTGCACTTCTGCGAGGATTTTTGCAGCGTTCGTGGGATAATGAAAAGCAGAAAAAACCCTTTGGAGCTTTAACAGCCTTAATCTGAAGATTAAAAAAAATGCCAGAAATACCTTTTTGGAGGTATTTCCCACCCAGAAAAGTGGGGAAAAAATTGTTGGCTGGTCCCACATGTAGAGTCGGTTGTCCAAACCTGGATGCTTATTTTTGGGTACCAGCCAAAACTACTCCCCAAATACATTTTTATCTCTAAAAAGACACCCAACAAGTGTTTTTTTGCTACATGCAAATTCTGAATATTCACCTATACAGCGGTTAATATGGCTTCTGTGTATGTCATTAGCTATCAAATGCACACAGGTTTTTTTAAGCCTTCCAGGGCCATACCCTCCACCCAAAATGATGGATTTTTGTTAATTTTCGATAATTGCACCAAGGCCGAAGGCATCGGTGGCAAGTGTCGGTCAATCAGCCTGGAGGGAAATCGCTGGGAAAATGCAATGGGAAATATAAAAAACACTTGACAAGTCACCCCACTGGGTTTTATGCTCTAGCGGGAAGTTTATCATCCATAAAAAGAATACAAAAAAGGGAAAAAAATTAATCCTCCTCCATCGTCTGCTTGGCGTGGGAGCATCTTCACAGGGATGGGTCCAGCAGAATCACTTCTCTGCTGCAATTTCTTCCCAGCTAAAGTATTTTCTTGACTTTATGCAACAGTGGGCCTGGGACTTCCCGATGGATTTTGGACCAGTAAAGACGACGCTCCCATAGGAACCGATGCTTAAACTACCCATCCCTGCAAACTGGATTTTTCCAAGTGGGAAATGTCTGAATTTCTTTGCATTAAGTTTATTTTCTTGGGGGTTTTTTTTATTATTATTATTATTTTGGAGGGGGAAAAGGGTATATTTGAGCTGTGTAAAAAAACATTCCTGTTGTGATGTGGCCATGGTGCCGCTGGCTCGCGGGCAGAGCCCTGCTGAAGGTGCGAAATTAGGCCATTAGGCCATTAGAGGAATTCATTTCTCTTTATTAGCCCGTGTCGAATCCTTTTTATTAGTGGCTGCACACGACCGCTCTCCTGCAGGAAAATGTCAGGGCCGGTTCAGCCCTTTTATTTGGAGGATTCCCTGGAATGAAAAAAAGAGGTTTTTGCAAAACCATATTCAGCAAAAGCAGATTTTTCCACCCCAAAGCTCTTCCTTGTGCCATGGGAGTGATCTTCTACCTCCATAACACTTGTGATGGGGAAAACCCTCCTGTTTCCCTGTTCATCCTCCTTCCCCCTCCCCCCCCAAATTTTGTAACGAGGATGGGATCCAGCTCTCAGTTTTCATGCTGTGACCTCCGCCTGCAAACGCCCATGATGGCTGTTCTGTTCTCCTGCCTGTCGTGGCCACAGAAAGGCTGGAAACAGAGAAAACTGCATTTTTTTGGCATACAAAAGGGAAAAAAAATTGCAATGATTCGGCATATAGCTTATGGCAGAACCCCAAATTTCACCGCTCCTTGACACTGCACTCTACTACAGGCCTTGGTGCTCTCCCTTACACCATCCCTGGGGCTTTTGCACCTCCTCCTTGGTTTTTTTTTTATTTTATTATTTTATTTTATTTTATGTTGTTTTGTTTGGGTTTTTTTGTTCTATTTTCATTTTTATTTATTTTTAGGTTTTATTTTAAGTTTTTAGTTATTTTATTTGATTGGACTTGATTTTACTTTATTTTATTTTATTTTATTTTATGTCCAGTTGAAAAACAAACCATCATCCCCTCAGCCACGTGCCTCCCCCTCCTCCTCCCTGCCAGCGCTACAAGACGTTCATGGGGGTCAATAGCAGCACTGCCCCAATTATAAATACTGAGCAGTGTGGGGTGATGCCGGCAACAGTCTTAATCCCCCACTTGGTCGATGTAACCCCTCAAAGCAAAGGGGCTACAAATTTTTCAGGGGCTAGAGTCTCCCCCCCCGCAACCTTGCCCCCCCATCCTTGGGGTAATTCCATGCCTTTGCTCCTAATTGATGGAGCGGCTCTGGAAATGGCAGTGGGCACCTGCCACTGAGCCACCGGTTCATAAGTCCCAATAATTCAGCCCACTGCCTGGAATTTGCCTTTCATATACCTCGGCTAAGCCCCGGGGGGGTGGTTGAAATTTTGAAATTTTTCCCCCCCCCCCCCCATTCTCTGCTCCAGCCTCGGCGAATCTTGCATTAAACTGGGATCAGGACAGATTAAACTATAATATGCTGCGGTATTAGCAGCTGCAAATGAAGACTTAGCCGAGGGGTTTAACCCCTTCGCCTGACTCCAGCTCGGAAAAGACCAGTGGGAAGTGATTCATAATCGTCTTTTGGACCATCTTTTGGAGATAAAATGGTGGAGCAAATCCCATTTTTCTGGGATAACTGGGGTGCTGGGGGACACCATCCCTGGAGCAGCATTTTGCATTTCTCCCCTGAAAGACTCCATAAATACTTCCTTTTTTTAATTTTTTTTTTAATTTGCACAGCTGGAGAGGCTGATTGAAGGTTGCACTAACTCATGGTCTTCATCCCCTTCTTCTCCACGTGCTTTGGTATTGTATGTATATTTGCATTTTATATTGCATCGATTTAGCATCATCATTAGAGCAAATTGTGGATTTGCAAGAATTGCAAGCCTATTGTCTAATCATTAGAGTGAATCGTGGATTTGCAAGAAGAATTGCAAATCTTGGCTTTCTAAGAGTGATTTTGTGGTAAGAAAGAAGTGAGATTTGACCCATCTTTGTGGATGGACATGGGAGTGCTTGACAGAGGTGCAGAGAGACCTCTTGGTGGAGGAGCAACTTATAGCAAGGTTGTCTATAGGATGCTGCGGACACCTAAAAATACCAGGTCATCCCCATCCAGCATCTCCAACCGAGAGACATTTTGGGGTAAAATATTACCAACAATGAGTGGGTGCTGATGTTGATCTCCAAAATGCAAAGCCGCCAGGACAGCAGAGGGCTCCAAGATAACCACCCCGAAGCCAAACCTTTTTGCTCATGGCAAAACATTTTGGAAATGACGGCGTTGGGGCAATGATGGAAAGCACCGAGATGTTGGGAGAAGTGATTTCCTGGTGAAGATGGTGAATTTTACAATTTTTAAGATTTTGGTTGTTGGAAAAGGTTTAGAGGGAGCACTTCCAGTATGGGCTTGGGAGTGAGGTTTGCACCACCAGGCTCTTGCAAGCTGGGAGGGAATGGATAGATGGTGTGGGATAAAAATGGACATGGGACCTAAACCAGTGAGCATTATGGGGGGGTCTACTTTGTCCTCTGCAGGCACCCACTGTTCCCGCTGCTGACTCTGCTCTTTGAGAAGTGTGAGCAGGCAACACAGGGCTCTGAGTGCATCACCTCGGCCAGCTTCGACGTTGACATTGAGAACTTCGTTCACCAGCAGGAGCAGGAGCACAAGCCCTTCTTCAGCGATGACCCTGAGCTGGACAACCTGGTAGAGGCAGATGGGGCTTGGCAGATGGTTTTTAGGGGGCGGGGAGAAGGTAGGGGGTGATGAACAAATTATGAAGATCTACCACCTTGGGCAACGTCTTTGGACTCCGTTTGTAGTGTTGGCCATCTTGGCAGTGTTCTCCATAGACCTTGTGAGACCTTCTCCAGGACCTTCTCTGAGACATTTTCCATAAGATCCCCTGTGAGAACAAACCCCTGCCCAATTTTTGTCTAGTTTTCTCACACAAACGCCATGGGGTCAATGTGTTTCCTGCCATGATCGATGGCTGGTTTGGCTGGTTTGTGCCCCAAAACCTGCAATCTCTCCAGGAATTACTGCTCTTCGGTGCAACGTGCAATAGCGTCTACATTCTTGTCTGGCACCATCTTGTTTCAAGTGTGATGGCCAGCTCTTGTCCTAGAAGCAAGGCAAAATAAGAGCTTTTTCCAAAAAGAGTGATGCATATCAATGGTTTAGGACACTTTGGACTGTTTTTGGTGGCTTCCCTGTCATAAAAACCAAAATTTCCTACCGTACCCATCGCTGCTGGAAGGTGCCTCAGAAGACTCTGCTTGGGATGGAGCTTTTCTCTTGCTGGGACCTCAGGAAACATTCCCAAATCCCATTATTTTGTCCAGAAAGCCTCCACATGCGGTCTCCATGGCAAGCATGTTGGTAGACAGGTCCATTGCGCCATCCTGGTGCACCCTCCCAGTGCTCCACAAGTAAATTTTTAAGAGGCAATTTTGCCCACCTCTGATGATGCAAAGAGCAAAACACCTTTCCTGGGGGTTGGCATGTCCCCTGGTACATGTAGCAGAGGGATTTCCATCTCAGAAAAGAAGCAAAATCAGGCAATTCACAGGTAGCTTTTTCCAAATATTACAGATATGAAGGAGGTGATTTTGTCTGATGACCTGTCACGAAGGGAAGAAGAACAAGCAATGCTCGTCCAAGAGCAAACTACTGCTTTCCTAAAAAAAAGGCAAGAAATGGTTTCAAGATGGATTAAAATCCGCATCTTTTGTGCCCAATTTCAGCTTGTGGAAGAGAGTTTTGCAACATCCCTAAATCAAGAGTGGCTTAGCAGTCTGTGGAAAGCCCTCAAAAAAAATTGCAGGCCATGTAAAGTCCTGTTTGCAGATTACTAAACCCATTTTGCAATGTCTTATAGCCAAGAACAGAAATCACCCTGGGATGAGCAAACAAAAAAAGCAGTGTTTTGGATTATTTCAGTTTTGGGACTGAACATGCATCAAATGTTGAGGTGCACCAAAAACCCCCTATCGCATTAAATTACATAAAAATGGGTGCAATGATATAGCAAGAGGAGGGGGATGGAGCCAGCTGAAGCAAAAAAAAACCCTAAAAATCTGGGGGAGGAAAACCTATTCCTACACATATCAAGATGAAACATCTCCAGCAAACGGTCAGTGCACGAGCTGTGTCCACAGAGGTTATTTTCACTGGTTTTTTTGATGGTGTCTTAAAAAAACCCACATCAATCATGTTTTTTGGGCATGTTTTGGAGCAATTCTTGCTGCCGAGGTGAAATCTGGCTGTGGGCCATTGTATTGATCCTATGTATGACCTTGCAGCACTCAATATATTTGTATTAGTTTTCATATATATATATATATATATATATATATATATATGTATGTATTTTTTCCCTATTTCTAGGACATATCTGTATGTATATATTCTATCCAATGCCCAGAACTTCTCCAAAAGCCATCCAAATTGCTCAGTGTGGTTGGCCTCCATCAAGACAGAGGAGATGGTTAATGTGATGCTGAAGAAGGACCGTTCCTGTTGGTGGGAAGCACCAACTGGAGGGAATTTTGGATGAAGAAGTCTTGCAGTGCTCAAAACTCAACATTTCAACCTGTTCCTGAGATGATGCTTTTTTCCTATTTGCATTGTCCTTTTTTTGGTTATTTTGGAGGTGGGTTTTTTTTCAATGCCACTGATTCCCTGGAAATCGGCAATGGCAAAACAGGGATGAAAAGGCCATCGGCATTAGCTATCATTAGAATAAGAGTCATGTATTCCTCACCACTGAGATGCACATAATTAGAAATTAGAAAAAGGTCAGATCTCACCATTATCAACTCAATCAGCTGCCGAGTGCCACACAGTCAATTAATTCAGCATCTGTATTTTTTACAACCCCGCGCACGTACGCCATTGGACTGTAACTCTTTATCCGGACAGATATACGACGCAGCGGAGCAGGGACATAAAATGAGACCCTAAGCAAATGAGCTGAGATAATTGAGAGATTTATTTTTTATACATATATGTGTCAGGTCTTCTTGCCTTTGCCCTTGAATATTGACTTTCATGGCCGTTGAGCCCTGGGAGGATGCGGAGAGCCGGGGCGCGATGCCCCCACCTTGCGCTTTGCCTGCGCCAACTGTGGAGGAGTAAAAAAAAGTGAAAAAAGGAAAAAAAAAGAAAAAAAAAGGATTTTTACAGCCACAGCCCATTATCCCTGTTGTTCGCCAACCAAAAATTCGCTTTCTCCATCATGGAGCCACCACCCGAGTTTGGCCCTGGATTTTTCGGGATGTTTCCCAACCATGGCGACTCACAGTTTGTAAAGATGACCACTAAAATTTGCAAGTTAAAAACACCCTTTGAAATGCAAAGACGCTTTGTTACATAAAACCAGATTTATTGCCCCGGAGTGAATAGCTGAAATTTTATATATTATGCAAGATTTCAAACAGCGGCTGTAAAACTTAAGGTTTCAGCTTGGCAAGAGGAATGTTTTATGTGTAAATTTTTTAACATTTATGGGGTACGTTTTAATGAGGCCCAGGCTTTGCACCGGCAACAGCTTACGGCGGAGTTGCAGCCCCATAATCTTGTTAGAAGAAGTGGCCTCCGGAGAATACCCAAACACTTTTTGACATCGAGAGCTTTGGCTTGGACTTTTTTGGAGCATGGGGAACAATTCCCACAAAGGCAACAGTAATTTTTGTGAATTTTGTCTTCTTGGGATTTCAGAGATATGATTGATGGGGAGGGAAAAGTGTGGAGGTGCAGAAAGATGGGCTCTGGGATGGGTTTTGGGTAAGAATACTGATTTTTTTGCTTTTTTTGGTGTGTTTAGAAAGGAAATGCATTTAATTGTACTGTAGGGATCAGTTCCAGGTTAGATTTTGGGTGAGAATATTGATTTTTTGGGTTCTTCTTCTGATGCGTCGAGGAGAAAAATTATTTTAACTTTGCCATTGTGTGCCCTTGCATAGATGGTGAAGGCGATCCAGGTGCTGCGCATCCACCTCCTGGAGCTGGAGAAGGTCAACGAGTTGTGCAAGGACTTTTGCAACCGCTACATCACATGCCTCAAAACCAAGATGCACAGTGACAACCTACTCAGGAATGACCTGGGGGGGCCCTATTCCCCCAACCCCTCTTCCATCAGCCTCCACCCTCAGGTAACTCCTTAAAAATCACTTATAATCACCATCATTGCATGTTGGCTAACAGGCACATTGGGCCAACAAGGTTTGAGGGTTGCTCTACAACTCTTGTGGCCTTCTAGAAACTCATCCCCAGCTGAGGAAAATTATTTTAAAAAAAACCCATATCTTTCGCATATGGTGCAATAAGTGATGCTGTGGTGATATTTTTTAAAATGCTTTTTTCATGGCCTTTTTTTTATGGGTTTGGCAGAACTGCAACCCCAATGTTTGTGTCTCTGCAAAAGGGAGAGAACCCTTTTTGGCTTTGCTGCTCCTTTTTTTGCCCTGGCACGTCTTGCAGTTCTCCAGTCCCACCTTGACTTTTTTTTTTTTTGCATAATTTTGGTTTTAGCTGGGAGAAGAAAACATTTGGTGCCTCAAGCACAGTGGGAAAGTACAAGGAGATGCCCAAGAACTGCAGAAATATCAACTGAAATGGCCAAGCCAACCGGCACCTTGGTGGCTTTTGGGGCAAAATAAGGGATTTTAACTTCATGTTTGGAAAAAAAGTTGCCCATGGATTGGGATTTTCACATGCATTTGCAGTGCAGGGAATAAATATTGGCTGGTTGCATCCCAGAAAACTTCCTTGATGCAATATTGAGTGGCTCTTGGGGATTTTCTCTCTCGGACACTCAATTTTTGGGGGGAGGAATGAAATTTGGGGCTGTACAATGCCCCCAGAAATATCTGCAGCCAACTCAAAATAAGCCAGGGCATCCCCAGGCAGCTCTTGGGTTTCTCCCCCAAAAGAAGGCTGGTGGTGGGGGCTTTTTTAGGGCTTTTCAGGGCATTTTTAGCATGGTGGTAAGGAAAAAAAATGTGATTATGGCAGCTCAGCTCCAAGTGCTGCAGAATTCAAAGCTCCCAATACGATACTTGTGGCCCAGCACGGGGAGGGAAAAGCCCCCAAAAAGTTTTATTTCTTATTTGGGTTTCCTGAAAGCACCAAATGACTCAATCATTGATCTAAAAAACCCCATCCTCTCTCTATTTTCTAATAATCTCTAGAAATGGACTTATTATCCCTTCACTGCTTTATGGTAGCATTCCTTATGATCAAAATTAGCAAGACACTTGCATAAAAGAGAACAATAATTGCTCAACGAGCATCTCGTTTGTAATTTATTAGTTTCTATTATTGTGCGTCGCCATGGCAACAGCCCGCATCCCGGGTGATGAGAGAGATGTTAGATATGAGCCGACGAAGCTCCTGGTCCCAGCAAATGGAGATGCACGTTTTTTATCAGTAATTTTAATGAAAATAATAAGTGAGGGAGTTAATGAGATGGAAAGCCGTCCTGTGGCTATTGTGATTTTTTTTTAGCTCTTTTCCTTTTTTTTTTTTTTTAAGTGTTGATCTAATTAGAATGCATCGGTCAGGAAAAGTAATGAGGATTTAGTGCCTCACAAAGAGGTGGGGATCGTATCAGAAAATTAGCACAAGTCTTTGGAAAATAATCAGGCCCATGGAGAGGTACGAAGCACCTCTGATTCCTGCAAACCCGGAGCTGCCGACATTTCCTTTCCAGGCAAGACCTGAAAGTTGAGAAATTCAAGTGAGGATTTGGAGGCAGTTGCTAAATAAATGGGAACACACCCAGGAACAACCCAACTGGAGAAGAAATGTTTGCTCAAGGATGAAGGGATTTTCAGCAGGCAATGGGAGCCGAAATATTCACAGTGATAGACCAGAAGGAGCCACGATCTCATCTGGTTATTGGATGAGGATGACATACCACTGATGATACAATGGCAAATTTTTTCTGATTATGCAACTAAGCAATGTCAAGTGCCCGAGTGCTTCGACTTATTGAGTATACTTGAGTTTGCAGGGATAAGGCTTAAAAAAAAGGGTGGAAATACTCTCTATCCATCAGTTGAGCTGTAAGGGCTGGAGATGCTCCAGAGAGCTGAAGAATCATGGGATCCGTGTTTAAAAAATGGCAAGTGGGATGATATCGCTAATTATCGTCCTATTAGTCTCATGCTGAGGGCAGGTAAAACAGTGAAGGGGCCACTAATTTAGGAATTTTTTTTTAAAAATCTGAGTAATGGAAATGAGATTAATATCAATGAACAAGGTTTCTTGGAAAATAGGTTTTCTCAGGGTATGGGAAAGGCATTGATCATTTTGTGAGAAGATACACCAAGTTGGTCGTGCAAGTGGAGTATTTCCGTTTTTTGCAAAGTTTTTTACCACAGGACAGCCTGCTTAAAAAATTATGGATACGCAATAACAAGGATGTCAACCAAACCTGAGAAAACAATGTCCGGAACTGTCAAAATGTCATCATGGGAAGATTGTGGTTGGATTTCCCTGGTGTATTCAGAAAGAATGGCCCTTGGCTTGGTGTTATTTGTGCTTTCTAAGATGAAAAATGCGAGGATTTCTGGAAATGCAAAAATGTCTGGAGGTGATGGAAAGATGAGAGAGCACCCAAAAAGGTGTTTTGACTGTTGCTGAAATCTTCTTATGTCACCAAGTCTAGAGATGACTCCTGGCGTTGGCCAAGTTTGGGTGAAAAGTTAATTTTTTCCTATGTGGTGAGCCTTCCCTGAACCTTTGTTACTTTACAGACATTTTCCTACCCTGTTTTCTCCATTGCTTTCTCATTTTGTGCTTCACTTTGTTTTGTGGAGGGAGTTTTAGCCTCTTTGGCCTGCAAGTCCACTAAGCAATTCCCCTTCCATTTTTCTTGGTTGTTTTTCACTTGGCTTAATTTCTTTCTCTTGAGTTCTCATCAGACCCTTTTTAACTCCCTCCCTTCATTGAATGAATAGTCTTTGAGCTTTTCAGACAGGGATATGAGAGTGGAGGTGCTTGTTGCATGGAGTTAGGGGAAAACCAATTTAATCCAGAGCTTAATGTAAATACTTTCCTTCAACATCAAAGTGGTCCTCACTGCTCTCCAGTTGACTCCACGTGCACGAAAAAACCCACTGCAAAGCCAATCACATTGGGAACCACAGCACTGCCAGGGATGTTTAAATTGGATTAAATCTTGCAATTTTCAGCTCTCGTTTCAAGCGAGAATTGCAGCAGATCGGCAGTGTTTAAATGGGCATTTTCAGGACAGCATTTTTTCCTCTCTAATTCCTTCTCCATCTTCCTGGTGGTTGGAGGCTGACGGTTGGGTTAGCTTGACTCAATGCAAGGCTTCTCTGTATAGATCTTAATTTATCCAAGTTTGCCCTGTGGACAAGCCTGGATTTCTCTGTTATTTAAAGCCAACTTTTTTCTCATCTCCGTCCATCCACGAAGGAGGCTTATGAATCTTCTTACATGAGTTTGAGTTTGGCCAGCTCTTTCTCAGCAAACTCATGGGTTTTTTTTTTTCCCCAACTAACCCCAATTTTTCCCAGCTTTAATCGAGCACAAACAAATTTCACAAAGTTAGGATGAGACAGAAATTTTTACGCATGTGTGTGCTATCCAAAAATAAATTGCTGCATCGTGAAGCACAAGGGGAAGGACGTCAACTCAAGTAGTGCTGAAATTTAGCATTTACACTTGGGCCCTGAGTCTTTGACACTTGCCTTATTGTAAGAAAGGGGGTATTTTGTGCAATGCAATATGTACCAGGTCTTTTTCTTCATTAAAGTGACTTTTAATTCAGAGAAATCATGTTTTGCCATAGAGCTATGGAAGGTCAGTGCCGAGATGTGGATCTGCAGAGACACCTACTGATGCACTTTTTACACTCAAGTTTCAAAATTGCTGGAAATATTTCAACTTCTTTGAGTCCTAAAATATAAAATATTTTCTACTGCAGCAAAATCACAAGCGTAATGTAATTTGGCTGGCATTTGCGATCCAAGGCGATTAGTATGCAAAATAGATTTTTTAAATCTTCTTGGAGATATCTATATTTATTTTAAGGCAGAGCCTCCACTTCCATTGGGTACCCTTGGTTTCACAGTGCCATTGTAGAAACACCAGGAATTTCTTTCCTATCTTTTTCTAATAATTATCAATATTCTGCCTTTTTGGACACCACTAAGCTGGTGTTTTGGGACAGTTTTCCTCTCTGCCACCAAAAAAATGCAATTTTTGTCATCATAAAATGCTGTTGAAAATGGCTTTGACCACTATCTGGAACAGCAGTTTCTTGTTCCCATCTTCCGATATCCCAAATTATTTCTTCCAAATGTACTTCCAAAAATGGTCTTCTGGATGCCCTTCTTTTGGAGGAATTGTGGAAAAATAAAGCAGGAGAGGAAAGCTGGAGGTCTTCAGGCTGGTCCAAACCTCTGGTTGCCTCTGGCTGTATCTGACTGCTTTTTGATGTTCTTGAAGGTCCATATTTGGTTTTATATTAATACTTCCACTGTATTTGTTAGCCGGACACTTAGCAAAAGCCAAGTCCAAGTGCATGCAAAAGCAATCAGTTTTTGCTTTCTGTGTGCTGAGAAATCCTCATTTTTCAAACAGAAAACCATTTCCTCCCAAAGGCTGGAGATGGGGAAGGGATATTAAAACAAAGTACAAGTATTTTACAGTCATATTTACATTTTTTAAATTAATTTAGCTATGAAAAGGAAAGTCTGGGAGGTGAAGCAAAAATGCACAGCAATTGCAGCAAAACTTCCAGATAAATAATATTCAGATCATCAATGGAGAGGACAAAAATAACATGCAGGAGAGGCAGTGGTTACAACGTTTTGGGTTCGGCATCATGGGAAGGGAAAACGCAGCAAGGGATTTTTAATGGCAAAAGCATGCAGGGAAAGCAGAGTTTATTTAGAACCACTGCACAGGCAAATCGGTGGTGACTGATGGGGAAAAAGCTGATGGATGCATGAATGTAATGGGGAAAAGCAAAAAAATGGACCAAAAATGACATTTTTTTCCCCCCAGCAATGGGAAATGCATAGACATGGACACTCCCCGTTGAATGATGCATCCACACCATCTCTTGATGTAAAATTAATTGATTTGTGGGTTCAAATTACTATCTCTGTACTTTTATTGCAAGGAAAAGAGGAGCTACGCCTTTTTCCAGCCTGACCACATTTGTGTGGTCGCCTTTTCTGGTGTTGTTGCATGTCAATAGTCCAGAGAAATTCTTTTTTCTTAAACCAAGTAATAGGTTTCTTGAAGAAATGCATCAAAATGAAGGGAAATTGAATAAAAAGAGTGAAAAAAAATCCCCTTTGTTGGCATTTTGTTCAACAGTTGAAAACAAGCCGGACACCAGGGAAGTGATGTGGAATGGGAAAATGGGTAGAAAAGAGGGAAAAATATTTTTATTGCAAGAAATGAGTGCAGTTTTATTTCCATTACAGCTGGGCCAATTAGAGAGAGATCGTTATCTTGGGCTTATTTTGAAACGATAATTTTATAAGTATGATTTGCCAAATTCTGCCCATCTGGGAGGTTGTGGTACACTGCCCTGTGTTCCCCCATATCCTCAATTGTGGCACCCTTCCCTTCCCAAAATGTTGCATTAAATATTCAAATAATCATTCAGTTTGGGCTTTTTCCAGTTGCCGCTTGCATGCAAGAGCTGCTCCAGAGCTGGGGCTGACAATGACATTACAGCTTTTTGTTAAAAAAAAATGCCCATTTTTGCAAGAAGTTAGCTTAAAGCTGCAAGGAATGATATCAAATGGGGTTACATTATTATTAATTTCATTATTTTACTGTTATTCTGGCAAGGGGAAACCATGGTGCTTGTCCTGGCTTTTAGCAAATGCTGCAGCATCCAGTTCCAGTCAAAGCAGCAAAAAAATAGAAATTTATAGAAAGAAAAAGAAGATTGAAGAAATTCCTTCTTGTCTATCATGCTCTTTTTTTTCTTTCCTTTTTCCTTACGGGAAATAGTGGCTGCACAAAGAAGATGAATTTGGGAAGGACGCTAAGTGGGAGCTTTGCAAAGCATAAATCCTTCTTTCCATCTTTTTTTGCAACTGCAACAAACTGAAAAATCCCTTTTTCTGCAATTTTGCCTGTTGAACCACCCAGGGGAAAAAAAAGACAACAGGGCGAGTTTATTGGAAGGGGAAAATTAAAACCTTGCGTGCCCTGCCGCGTGTTAAAAATCCATGTCTTTAATATTTTTTTTCCGCAGGAGATGCTGCAGAGCTCACCGGCGGCGCTGCCGCCTGCCTCCAACCCTCCGCCGGGCATTGTGGTGCCGGCAGCTGCGCTACCACCAGGCAACTTGGCCATGAGCGCTGGCAGCGGCTCACCTGCCGTGCCAGGTAGGGACCCTGGGGGAGGCTGGTGGTGGGGGTAGAAATTTGGGGGTTTCGGTAACCCCACGAGCCTTTTTTTTCCGGTAGGTGGAGCCTTGTACCAGCCCGTGACAATGGTGACGTCACAGGGCCAGGTCCTCGCCCAAGCCATTGCCCCCGGTGCCCTGCAGATCCCCAACGCCCAGGTAAGAATTTCCCACCTCAAATTTCCATTTTATGCAATGTTTTGAACTGCTGCAGCAAGCAAAACCCCCAATTTCTCCACAAATTCAACCCTTGGAGTATCCTAAACTTTTAATTAGCAAGAAACGTTGATTAAATCCATCTGCCAGGCTCCTTTGGGGTACCTAACAAATTATAACAACGACCTAATAAATGATAGCAGTGCTTATATTATTGCTATATTATACAATATTATAATGTATAAAATATAATATTTATATTATATTATAGGATAGGATAGGATGGGATGGGATGGGATGGGATGGGATAGGATATTATTGCTATATTATGGATTTGGGATCACTGGTGTTGCCTGTCCGGTATGGCAATCACAGCGCTCATGGGAAAGACTCATTTCTTTTCCTTGCTTTATGGATTTTGGGGTGGTTTCTTTAGCCATTTGCTCTGTTTTTATTCCTTTTTTTGTCATTGCAATTAACTACATGGGTTTTCCCTTCATGGCTGCATTCTTGCAATAACGTGACAATTTGGGGTAGAAATGGATTTATAAGGACAACTTGCCATCCCTGTTGGCTGCGCTGTCTGTGATCTCTTCCAAACCCCCATTCCCCAGGAACTTGGGAAAAAAACCCCACTGATTTCTGCTACACTGATTCCTGGGGGCAGATCAGCAAAAATCCCCCATGCAGATTTTTTTCTGAAAAGCCCCAATTTAATTGCGGGAGCCTCTTGAAAAAAAAATAATAAAGGGCATTTTGGAAATGGGTGGCACCTCCCAGGCAGTTTTATTGCCTGTGCCATGGTTTTTAAAATTTCTTTAATATTTCTCCATCGCAGGCTTAAATCTTGCAGCAAAACCCTCTGTGGTGGGAAAAACACATGCGCAGGGAATATCGGGGCAGGGAGAGAGCCCTGGACAAGCACCTCCGGATGCTCTTCCCGAGCTGCTGCCATGATTTATTCAGCCAGAGCCCAGGGGAATCACAGGGACCTGCTGGCCTGATGTTTAATTCATCCAGGAGAAGTGTTTTGATGAAGAGCTGGGGAAAAAAAAAAAAATCTCTTTTTAACTCAAGCGCTGAGATTTCAGTTCAGTTCCTGCATCCTCATTAAAACTTCTCTTGCAGCAAGATGTTTATTTTTTATTTTTGAAGGAAAAAAAGCAAATTTTTGCTCAATGGGCATGTGTCTCCTCGTGGTGGGAATCAGCTGAGTGAGGCACACAGATTTGCAAGGGTTTAATGAATGGCAGAGTTTTAACCTCAGGTTTAGAAAGTCATCTTTTGGTTTGTTTTTTTTTAAGGTAAAAGTGTTTTCCTCCTTAATTGCACAATAAAAATGGTCATGGCTTCAGGACCACGGTCCCCAACTGCGATCCCAGTGCCACAGCAGGGAGAAAAAGCCCATTGCCCCTTGCAAAGCATTGGCAAAAAAATTGAGATATTAAATAGAGATCCTGGGGGAAAATGTGGATTTAATGCAAATTTTTTGGGGGAAAAAAAAGGCATTTGGACACTCCCTGCAAGTGCTTGTTTTTTGCACTTGCCCTACTCCCATTTTGGGTTAGTTTTGCTCATTTTTTGCCCTAGTTTTGCTTGGGTTTTGGGTTGCCCATTGCTGTTTTCAGCCAATTCTCTCCCTGTTCCTTTCCCCTGGCAGGTGAACCTGGATCTCACCTCCCTCCTCGACGGTGAGGACAAGAAGTCCAAGAACAAGCGGGGCGTCCTGCCCAAACATGCCACCAACATCATGCGCTCATGGCTCTTCCAGCATCTCATGGTGAGCACCGCAGCTGCCAAAACACCCTGCAAAGGTGGAAAAAAAAGGCAAAAAAACCCTAAAATGAACAAATCGAGGTGGTGGTTTGAATTTATATTCAGAGGTCTCAAAGTGGCTTTGGATTTATTTTGGGAATGACCGTTTTCACTGCAGGTGGCAAAAATACTCCCTTAATGCATGAAGAATCAAACAGAGGGGGACTTCCACAAATTATTGCGGATGGGTGGTGTAGCATTTTTTTCCAGTTAACAGCTCCAAAATACTGTTTTCCAGCAAGCCTGGATGTGAAAGCTGCCCCACAGGTATGGTTATGGCACATCAGCAATCAGTTGAAATACAGAATTACAAAATCACCCCATTTTGGGGGTTGAAGATGTAGGTAGGCAGAGGGAGCTCAGAGGATGCAACCACGATATTTTCATGCAAGAAGATCGCTCTCCCAGCCAGAGGGCTGGAAGAAGGGCAAAAAGGTACCGCCCCCCCCCTTCTTTTTCCTGCATAATTTGGCCAAGAAATCACTCAGACACTGGTTGCGAAGAGTTGCATGAGGGTCTCCAGGAAGGTGGGAGACCCATAGATAACAGCAAGACAGAAAATAGCAGCTCCAAGGAGCAACTTGGGGTAAAACATGACCCAGGACATGGAGCAGCAGCTGGTTGGGAACTTTCCAGCCTTTTTTTAAAATGGGAAATATTGGATTTATTGCATTGAGGACAAGACCATCACTGTGTTGGGCCGCCATCCCAAGCTGCATCGTGCACGTCCCATGCTTTTGGAGGGATGAACTGCAGATTTGCAAGCAGGAAAAGGATTTAGAAGACCAGAAACTGAGGAGCAATTTTCTGTTGGGTGCAAGGAATGCCCCATGGTTTGAGATTTCCAAAACTGGATCGAAAAACTAAAAGAAATTGTTCTTCTACTGTATGGTTGGACCTTTGCTCTCAGCCTCATCCTCATGGTCAGAAGATGCTTGGGCTTCCCCACGGGATTTCTCCATCTGACATCATAGATGATGTGGTTTTTAACCTAATAGCATTGATGCTCATCATTTTATTGGGTTTGGAAGTTTTGTAGCACCAGCAGGAGGAAGGAATGCTGGAAATAATATGCCAAAAATGAGGATACTTTTGCCAAAAAGAGCCATTTTTAACCACTTTAGCATCCCTGAGGCCCTGGTGGGACAGGAGTCTCCTGCATGCCATGACTTTGGGTGGTTTTGTCAAGGAAATCACATTATTTTGAGGGCAAACAGCTGGAAAACAAGTCATGTGAATCAACACTGGCACTGGCTTGGGGCTCTGAAAAATGACACATGGGGCTGCTTTGATAACAATTTCATTTCGGGGGTTGGAAACGAGGATTTTTAGCATGGTTGGGAGGAGGTTGTTGAAGCTTTGAGTGCTGGTAGTCTCCCAGTGCAGATGTTTTGGAGTGTTTTATTGATGCATCTGACAAGGAGCATTGTGGGTGACAGCAGGTTTTGAAGCCCAAATCCCACCTTTACCAAAAAACATTATGGGAAAATCGCTAAAACAAAAAATACTAACTTCCTTCAAGGAAAAGCCTTTGATGGAAAACCTTGGAAAAGCCCTAGGCACAGCAGGCAGACCATGATGGTCTCAGATGCCACCCTTAAGCCTTGCATCTTTCAGATGCAAGAAGCCACCAAAATTGGGGTGGGAAAATGAAAAAGAAGGGGGGGGTATTTTTTTTTTCACGGGGGGCTGCCTTTTTGCACACAGGGATGTCATTATGCTGCCCCATCTCTTTTTTTTCTAGCACCCCTACCCCACAGAGGACGAGAAGAGGCAAATCGCCGCCCAAACCAACCTGACCCTCTTGCAAGTCAACAACTGGTGAGCATATCGGTGGCCCATGCAATCATCTTGCTGGCTTTAGAAATTTTTTTCCCGTTATTTTGGTGCTATATAATGCTTTTTGGGGGGTAACTTGAGCAGTCAGGGCCGATTTCTTGGAGGCGGGCTCCGATGTGTTTAATTGATGGCGTTCGTTTGCGGCATCTCAGTGCCCTCTCCTGGCAAACCCAATATGTAGCAGCCTCCAACTCAGCTGGAAAAATTAATGCAATGGTGTAACATGCCACAGACAAATTAAATAGGATAAAACCCCAGCTTTTGGGACCATGCAGCCACTTTTGGAAGTGTTTTATATTGCAGCTCATTGAATTGTTACGTCGTCTGTTGGTTTAACTCAAAATTGGTGTGATGACTCTTATTTACTTGAATGGTCTCTTTTTTCGCTGGAAAGGTTCATAAATGCCCGGCGGCGCATCCTGCAGCCAATGCTCGACGCCAGCAACCCAGACCCAGCCCCCAAAGCCAAGAAAATAAAATCTCAGCACCGGCCTACCCAGCGCTTCTGGCCCAACTCCATCGCCGCTGGGGTCCTGCAGCAGCAGGGTGGCAATTCGGGGACAAATCCTGACGGTAAGGACAAACCCCGACAGCCCCTGCCCTTCCTGGATGGGGTGACCATGCATTAAATTATGGCCTTAATTGGTAATTAAGGATTTCTAGAGCCCTTTATGCCCCTGTGGGGAAAAACATGTTGAAGAGGTAGCCCACGCAAGAAGGTCCATCCAGTTGGCCATCACAAGTGCGCTGGCAATGTGGCACTGCCATCTCCTCGGCATCAGCACAGTCCTCAAGGATCACCCACTATGGGACATCACTGGGGATATCTCTTGAGGTGCTAGAGAGGAGGTAAAGGGGGAGATGGGGACAGAAGAGGAGGCAAAACGAAAAAAAGATGAAGATGAGAAGACAGATGAGACAAGATGGGAAAAGAGACAAAGAGAAGATGAAGAGAGAACAGGTGATGAAAATGAAGAGGAACAAAGAAGATGAAGAGAAGCTGAAGAAAGCAGAGATGAACATGGACCAGACAAGATGAGAAGGGAGAAGATGAAGGGAAGGTGGAAATTAAGAGAGGATGAAAAGAAGATCTGCCCAATCGATTTGGGCATGTGCTGAAAAATGAAGGTTTCTTCTTATTTAATGGATACATTAGCTAAAAAAATTAAGGGTTCAACCTTGGGGAATGGCTGGGGCAGGTGGGACACCCTACAGGATGCTCTCTCTCCAAGTACAGCTTTCTGCTTGGGTTATTCTTGGTTTCTGCACTTTTTCATCCTTTTTGTATTAGCTGGGAAGTCCTTATATATATATATATATATTTTTTTTTTTTTTTTAATTTCAGGCTCGCTCAGCATGGACAACCTGCAACCTCTCTCCTCAGCCACGGCCACCATGGCCATGCAGCAGGCCATGCTGGCAGCCCACGACGACTCCCTCGACGGCACCGAGGAAGAGGAGGAGGATGAGGAGGATGAGGACGAGATGGAGGAGGAAGAAGAAGAAGAGGAAGAGCTGGAGGAAGAGCCTGGCGGCCTCCCGGCAGCACCTGGTACCGACCTTGGCTTGGACCACAGTGACTCGCTGGAATAGCTCCTCCTGCGCCCTCCCCAAATCATGGACAGCACCAGAAACAAAATTCCCCCCAAAATGCCAAAAACATTGGCAAGAACAAAAACAAAATTGGTGAGAAAAAAGCAAATTGGAGGCGCTGGCAGATGCCCCGGCTGCCATTGGGAGCACGGGGACCACCACGTCAGCGTGTGGAAGTGAAGGACACATGTTTACAAGGCACATATTGTGGCCAGATTAATTTTTTTTTCAGGTTTTATTCTTATTTTCCCCTTTTCCCTTCCATTTTTGCTAAGAAAAAGCATTTTTAAGGGAAGCTGTTTTCCCCACACAATGCTCAGATGCTGTTGGGCAACAGTGGGTTTTCATCACGGGCTACCATGTCCATCACTTGGATTTCTTGGTGCAAAAAACCCCAACCAACCCCAGGACTGATGCTTTTGGGGTTTTTCCCCCAGAAAGATGATTCACAGGCATAAGTAGTGGCACGCGGGGAAAAAAAATCTGCAAGTGCAAACTCTGCTTCAGGTCGGATCTGAGGAGGGTTTCATGCTCTTGACCCACCAGATTGTCCAAACGTCCCCGTTTTGGCCCCGATGCTGCAGCCGTTTGGTGACTCCGGACGCAACCTTCTGGAAAAGGGAGGAAATTCCCCCAAATCCTTTAATTTATGTGTGAAAAATCCATTGAATCTGGAAAAAAAATCACCCCATCCTCATCCTTAAGGGCTGAGACTGGACGCAGAGTTGGGGCAAAGGCTGCCGGCAGTAAGACTTTCCCACGGCATTTTGGCACCGCGTCAGGAAAAAGTGGGGGAAAAAAATGGGTTTAAAAAAAATGCAGATTTTCACCCAAAATTGAATGGTGACCCCCAAGATTCACCCATGTGGGAGGAAATTCAATATTGTTGCTGGAAAGATGGTTTCTCCCTGATACTGTCTACCTGCGTGGGAAAATGGTGGAGTTTTACCCCAAAGGAGCCATGGGGGAGGGCAGCTCTGCAAGAAACCAACATATTTTGGGTTTTTTTTAAATGCTAGCAAAACGGCGAATTTCGCCTTAAAATATGGTGCGGGGGAAACACAAAAGCAAACCCAGATGATGCGGGGCAGAAATAATAAAGGAATTTTCTTCTGCAGGTTCCTCCTGTAAATGCAGGTTTCTGTAAGAAGGATTTTTTTTTTTTGCGGCTTTTTGCCGGTTTTGTCCTTTTTTTTTCTGGCTCTTGAAGAGTTGAGAAAAAAAAGAAACAGCAGCCAGGGGGAAAAAACCCCCAAGTGATGCAATGGGCAGAAAAGCCTATTTTTCGATACTGATCTGGCGTGAATGTAATCTGTAATTTCATAAAGGATTCATTGTAATTTAGTATTAATTCATGGCCATTTATTATAAAGTGCTACGAGATGAGGTTTCGCAGCTGTATTTTATTGGCAGCTTCTTCCTGCTAGTGGAGAAGCCCCAAAATGGGTGAATAACCCCCCCAAATGGGCACAATTCCCCCCAAATAGGTGAATCAGCCCCCAAACGGGTGAACTGACCAAAACCCGCAATTGAGTGATGCAGTGCAAATAGGATTTACACTTCCAAAAGTGATGCTCCCCCAAAATGTTACACCCCTCGAGTGATGCCCACCCCAAAATGACTTATATTCTCCAAAAATGAGTGATTCTCCCCCAAAATGTGTGCTCCTCACCCCAAAATGAGTTATTCTCCCCAAAAATGAGTTATATTATCCAAAAATGAGTTATATTATCCAAAAATGAGTGATGCTTCCGCAAAACGAGTGACCCACCCGTAGCTGGGTGATACTGCCCCAAAACATATTACGCTCCCTCAAAATGAGGGAAGCTCCCCAAAATTGAAGTGTTTCCCCCCAAAAGCATTGCTTCCCCCAAATGAAGAAGGCTCCCCCCAAATAAGGGATCCTCCTCCAAAATTAAGTGATTCTTTTGGAGTGGTGCCCCCAAAATGATTGATCTTCTCAAAACCATGATGCTCCCCAAAATGTTTCCCCCAAATGAGCAATTCTTCCCCAAAATGAGAACAGTCCCCAAAATGAGTGATGTTGCCCCAAAATGATGCTCTCCCAAACTAGCAATCCTCCCAAAAATGAGTGACTCTCCCCAAAAGCAAGTGATGCTCCCCAAAATGAGCAAAACTCCCCAAAACAACTGAATTTACCCCCCAAATGGACGACACTCTCAAAAAATAAGCAAAGACCCCCAAATTAGGGACTATCCCCCCAAATGAGTAACAAACCCCAAAAGTGAGCAATTTTCCCCAAAATGGACCCCCCCCCATTCCCTAATAAGCCAGTACTAATTAATGGGATGATTTTCTGGAAAAAAAAAAGTTATTTTTGCACAATTTTTAGCAGAAAACAGGGCTGCAGAAAAGTTAAAAGTGGAAAAAATGCCCTCAAAATGGAATTTACAGCTGAATTTTGCCCCTCTGATCATGGCAGCTGCCTGGAGCTCTGCAGCCAGCTCTGAGCACCCAGCAGCTCGTTAGCCAGAAATTTGCATATTTTATAAATTTCTGAAATATTCATGAGCATTGCAGCAAAGTCCTTGTCGGTATTTTCCACCAAAAAAGTGCATTTTTCTCTCGAAAAGTTGCAAACCGACATCGCAAGTCAGGGGGGATGAAGATGCTGGAGGCTGGTTGCTTAATTAATGAAACGAATTATTTATTTCCCAGCTGTGCAAAGGTGGGGGGAGTGCGGGGGGGGTGGGGGGCCGCAGGCGACCCATTTTCCTCGGGTTTGGCCCCGTTTTCGAGGGGCGCCAGGGTAGGGGGGCACAAGGGCAGCGCCGCATCAGGTTGGGCAGAGCACTGCAAAGAGAGAGGTCATGGGTGTGCACTGGCACGCACGAGGGTGCACCAGGGACGTATGGGGGTTGCACCTTGGTGCATGATGATGCACGGGCGTGCACAGGGATGCACGAGCATGCACGGGGATGCATGACGATGTACAATGATGCATGAGCACACAAGGATGCACAAGGATGCACAGGCTTGCACTGGGATACACAAAAGAACGCGAGGATACACGGCTGTGCAAGGGTGTACAATGGTGCATGAGGGCTGCATGAGGATACATTAAGTGTGCATGGGGGTGCCCAAGGGTGCATGAGTATGCACATATGCACAAGCATGCATGAGGACTCGAGAGCATGCAGAAAGGATGCACGAGCGTGCGCATGAGGGCACGTGGGTGCACAAGGATGCACAAGCATGCATGAGTGCTGCATGAGGCTGCCCGGTAGCTGCAAATGGGGTGCAGAGAGGATGCAGGAGGTACATGGAAGGGATGCAGAAGGAATGCACAAGGCATGCACAATGGTGCATGAAGGGTGCACAAGGGTGCAGGAGGCTGCACAAGAGATGGATGAGAACTGTGTGGGAGATGCACAGGGATGGCCAGGTGATGCACGAGGGGTGCCCAGGAGATGCGTGGAGGATGAATGGGGATGCATGAGGGATGCACGATGGTGCATGAGGGGTGAAAGGGGGTGCACAGGGGTTCATGAGGCTGCACGAAGGAAGCAGGTGGGCCACGTAACAAGGTACAAGGGAAGTCCAGGGAACATGCAGTGATCTACAAAGGTGTGTGAGGATGCATAAGGCCTGCACAAAGGATGCATGAGGGATGCACAGGAGATGTATGCAGGATTCACAGAGGATGCACAAAGGATGCACCGACAATGCATCAGTGATGCATGGAGATGCATGAAGGATGCACACAAGATGCATGGGAGGTGCACAAGGATGCACAGGAGGTGCATGAAGGATGCAGGGGAGTTGCACAAGGATGCAAAAGGAATCCACAGTGGATGCACAGAGGGACAAGGACTGCATGGAAACTGCATGCAGGATGCACGAGGGGTGCACGAGGGATGCACAAGGTGAGCAGATACCTTTGAGGATGTAGTCCGTGAGCAGTGTGGGCACCTTCTCGTTCCCCTCCTTCATGGCAAACAGGACTGTGAGGGGGAATGGAGCTGTGAGCCTGGCCCCACTGCCCCCCAAATGTCCCTTTTCCCCACCAAGACCAGCCCCACAGTCACCACAGAGACACTGCCAGAGTTTCCCACAATGCACCAGGCCTGAGAGCATCCCCCAAAAAAGCACTTTCACCCCCAGTCAGCCAATCCGTGGCAATGCAGAAAGGGTGTTTTACCCTCAAATTGGTGCTGGTGTAAGGTGCAAAAATGGATGGGGGTGGTTTGCTGCAAATCAGCTGTGCCGCCACGATGCAAAATGGATGATCGCACCCCAAACCAGCTGTGCTGCCATGCTGCAAAACAGGTCTTTTCCCCCCCAAAATGGGCTTTGTTGCAATGATGCAACATGGGTGGTAGCACCTCAAATTGCCCATGCTGCAACAATGCAAAAAAAAAAAAAAAAAAAAAAAAGGGGGGGGGGGATCGCACCCCAAACTAGCTGCGTTGCAATGATGCACCCAAATCACAGCTGCTGCAGCAATGCAAAATGTGCATTTGTGTCCCAAATCGACCACACCACGGAGATGCAGAATGTCTGGTTCTGCCCCAAAACGGCAGCTTGAATGAATACTCACTGTTGGTGAGCATCTGCAGATCCTCGACAGAGGGTGGCGACCCCTTCTTCTCATAGGGAATCACCGTGTTCAGGTACTGCAAAAAAACAAAAAACCACCCCAAAACCACCCAGATAGCACAAACCTGCCTATTTTTTGCACCACCTTGAGACAAATCACCCCAAATTGGTGCAAAAGCAGAGTATGTCTGCGATTTTCCTGTGATTCCATTTAATTTGCTGGTATTTTGGGGGGGTAATGAATTAATTGCATGCTGCAAAACCCACCCAACCGTGAACCCCTGCTTAGGGAGGATTTTTTGGGTGAAAAATGGTGATTTTTGCAAGATGGGTTAGCAGGGTGTAGGGGACAGAGCGGGGTCATAAAATTAAAAAATATTTTAAAACGGGTTTGGGGGATGCAGGGGGATGAAGTATGAAAGGGGACAGAGTTGGACAATTTTTGGGAGAAAAAGAGCACCTGCTTCTCGTTGGCGGTGGGGCCAAAGGTCTGGCGCAGGCCGGAGTGCAGGATGCTGGAGATGCCCTCCATGCTGAAGCGCTGGGGACACACACCACCACACACAGCCAGTCACCTC